CCATTTGCAGGTGTTGTTACTATGGTTCCTCAAGAGCTCGTCAGATTGAAAGGGGAGTCAGTTCTTCTGACTGTTCCAGGACACAAGCAGCTAAAATTCATCAGAATATCATGGAGGTCTGGAAACAATAACATAGTGGAATACACAAACAACACAGACTCTGTTTTGTTTTACCCAAAATATAAAAATAAGGCGCAGTTTGAAAAGAAGGATTACTCTTTACGCATTGGTCACCTGGAGGAGGGGAACATCGGGCTTTTTAAAGCAGTAATGATTGATATAAATGGAATTGATACAACTGTGGCGGAGTACAGCATAGTAATACAAGGTACATGTCTTCAGCTTCTTATTTTGCTTGACTTTAAAACATTGATCCAGAAACCTTATTGATCCTGGCCCTACAGAACCCTAGGCTGCCTTATTTTGCCTAGTGCTAAGAAGGGACAGTTTTTATCTAGATTGTATTTACAGTCCTTTACCGGCATGTTTACTCATACCATGGTTATTTTTAAGTATGCCTGTCAAGGTGCAGTTTGACAAGAAGGACTTCTCTTTACACATTGGTCACCTGGAGGAGGGGAACAACTGTTTTTTTAAAGCAGTAATGATTGATATAAATGGAAGTTATATAATTGTGGCAGAGTATGTTGTATAATTTTTGGTAATCAGGGTAATTTTGATTGGTAATATAAACTGTGCAATAGACAAATTTCCTTGATTTGTAAATTGTATATATCCCATAAACTGAATCATAAAGTACAGGAAGTACTGTAAAAGTTAGTCAGCAGTCACCCTGCATCTCACAATTGGCAACCCACTGAAGCTCAGCAGTAGCTCAGCTCAGCAGGTGTGAGCCTGGTCAGTACCTGGATGGGAGACTCCTGGGAAAGCTCAGGTTGCTGCTGGAAGAGGTGTTAGTGGGACCAGTAGGGGGCACTCACCCTGTGGTCTGTGTGGATCCTCATGACCCAGTATAGTGATGGGGACACTATACAGTAAAAAGGTGCCATCCTTCAGATGATACATAAAACTGAGGTCCTGACTCTCTGTGGTCATTAAAAATCCCATTTTATTAAAAATTCTTGAAAAGAGTAGGGGAGTTACTCTGATGTCCTGGCCAAATTTCCTCCTGGCCTTTACCAATCATGGCCTCCTAATAATCCCCCTCTCTGAACTGGCTTCATCACTCTGCTCTCCTCCCCACTGAGAGCTGGAGTGTGGGGAGAGTACTGGAGCATCATCCAGGTGGGGCTGCACACTGGTGGTGGTGGAGGGGGTCCCCATTACCTGTAAAGCGCTTTGAGTGGAGTGTCCAGAAAAGCGCTGTATAAGTGTGAGCAATTATTATTATTTGTATGTTTCCCCAAGATTGCATGGGTTTCCTCCTGGTGCCCTAGTTTCCTCCCACAGTCCAAAGACATACTGGTAAATCAGTTGGCTTCTGTGAAAACCGGCCCTGCAGTGAGCAAGTGCGCTCCTGTGTTTGTGTCTATGTGTACCCTACAATGGAGTGGCCTCCCATCCAGGGTGAACCATGCCTTGTGCCCATTTTTTACATGCCAGGATAGACTCCAGCTCCCCCAATGAACTGGGAGAAACAGTTAGAAAATGGATGGCTGGATGAAGTCCTGCTCTACATTACTTCTTTCCCTGTCTTTTCAGAGAAGGTGTCCCCACCAGCCCTTCTGGTCAATAAGAGTGAATTCTGCAGCTTCTTAGTCATGTGCTCCACTGATGGAGCCGAGTCTTCTACCTACTCCTGCAGGCAATCTCACTGCACTGAGATCACAGCGAACTACAGCAGGTCCCCTGCTCTGCTCATCGACGTGTCTACGGATGGGAGATCAGTGGTGTGTAACGTCAGCAATCAGGTCAGCTGGAGCATCAGTTCAGTGGCTGTGAGCGACAGCTGTCCATTCACCGCCAGTGGTAAGGGTGAATTCTCAGAATGCCCTGCTGCAGAGGTTTAAGCTGCTACGCTAATTTGAACTTGTCAAGTCGATGTTTTGTGACATTGTCGTTATTTTGTCCAATGTGTACATATAAAATTGAATGTGCCCATTCTTTCTTCTTCATGACTATCACCTGGTTTCTCCGTTTATTAGGTTTATCATGTAAAGCTTTCATGACTAATGGTTTTAGTACTTCTTAATGTCACTCTAGTCCCTGATGTAAAGACGAGCCTAAAAAAAGGACTGGTTTATAGGTTTATAGTCTAGTTTATTAGAATAAAAAAAATCTTGATATATTTATCACATTTTCTGTGGAGCTATGTCTTTACTTGAAATGTGATTATGTCTGTGACACGTGTGCAATTTTCCCCACATGAAAGGGATTAAATGCACAATGCTCTGTCACTCAACAGAAGGCCTTTCTGTATAATTAGAGAATGATCTGTGTATTGCAATAACAAAAGCATAAGAAAAATGGGTCGTGGTGCAGACTTCTATTTTGATCAAAGATTCCCAATTACTAATCTACTTCTTAAAGTCACAAATTTCTAAAGTTACTCTAGTCACTTAAGGGACAAAGAAGGATTGTATAGATTTATAGTCTAGATTATTAGACTAAAAAATTATTGATTTACATATTTTTCACATTTTATGTCGAGCTTTATTTCTTTATTTGAAATGTGATTATACTGCTGTGATTACAGGAGTGCGATTTTTCACGCATGAAGGGGATTAAATGCACAAAGCTTTGTCACGTAACAGGAGGCCCTCTTGTATAATTAGAGAACGATCTGTGTATCTCATTATGACAGTGTATCAGTCGTGGTGCAGACGTCTATTTTGTTCAAAGATTCCCATTAACTAATGTATACAATTTTGTCCCTTTCCTTTCAGACACCTTTACTGGTTTTCCGCTGTGTCTCATGAAGATCATCGTGCTCTCTGTGGGGCTGGTCTTCATGGTGGCAGCTGTTATTGGAGTTCATGTCTGGGTCAGCATTAGATCAAGCTGAGTACTGTACATATGAATCAAGCAGCTTACAGAAGCAGAAACACCTGTAGATGCCCCAGGTATAATATAATAAGGTCTGAATTGGAAGTCAACAATCCCATCTCAAGGAATACTGGCTGTTGTATGTTTTCTTTCATTGAAGTTCTTAAACTGTCTGTCCCTCTGAAGGGATGCAAGGAGTCAAGGAACTGGAACTGTCCACTGAAGATTTGAAATGAGTTTAATACTGATGAAAAAGGTCGTTTCTGGAGACTACTAAAGAGACACACAAGGTATATTTCCCACAGTGTCCTGAATTGCAACAGAGTCCAGCCACAGCCACCCAATGCTATTATCATGAATGGGTGTTTGATCGACCATTGCCAAAATGCTTCTACATAAGGCCTGGTGTCTATTCTTGGTGATGTTATTCCTCCTTTCAGCCATTGTTGGGATGTTGCATACAACATCAGTCAGCAGCCAGATCAGGATTAATGACCCCAGACCAGAGTCAGCTTTCTACACATCCATTTTCTAACCTCTTCTTCCAGCTCAGAGCCCTGGGGGGAGCCGAACGCAGGCCGGATAGGCACACACTCACACCAGAGTCAGTTTTTCTTACGACTATCAACTGAATAAATGAAGCTGGCAAGTGAGAATGACAAAGAGTATCTCAACATGATTTTTGACTTGTGTAAATTGGTTAAGTTATGCTGATGTGGTATAAAGTTAAGACATTGCTGTGTTTCTCAGTTAATTTAAAATCGAATTCGAATTAATTCTTATTAGATTAAAATCTAATCTAATTTAAAGTTGTAATAAATGTTGGTTACCGTATTAAATTATTGTATTCAATTTTAAATTGGTATTTGGTATTTTTTCTTTTTTAATGGCATCTGTCCTTTTTTTTTTATTTCAAAGGCAGCCAGGACACTAGACTTAACTTCTCCTGGAAATGTGTCTTATAGGTTAATTGTTAATGACTGATCCAGGAACAAGTTTGTATACACACTGTTGTAATCATTTTTCCATCGTGAGTACTTTGTGAGTTCAAACAGCATCTTACAAGATTGTGAAAAATATTTCAAAGCGTGCTATAGATGATGCTTCTTCCTCTTTCTCGGAAAATACAGATCAAATGATCAAATTATGAATTACTTTACTAACAATTCTGCCTTTTTGATCATTTAGGAAAAAGTTTTGTAGACAAAACCCATAAATGGAAATCGACAGACGTGCTATTTTAGAATTTTAGAATTACCAGCAGCCAGACATTGAAAAAGATACACAGCTTCTTTTTGGCAGTAGACAGTTCTTTTTTCTACAGTGTTATTTTGTAAATTATCAGAATACATGTTGTAACAGAAAGAATAAGGTTCTGGATCCCGAGATGAAGTTAAACATATGAGTTTATTGCATGCAAGGAACAATAAAGCAGAAGTCTTGTCTCCCGCAAGAAACAACAAAACCGAAATAAGTGCTGGTACAAACTTTAGGTTTATATATCCTTTCCTTTCCACTTCTGACGTCACTCGTTATTATGGTAAAGGGGGGAGGTCACGTGTTTGACCAGTTTACAGCTTTTTGGCCAAATGGTCAGGGATTAATTCCCCAGGGGGTTTCCTAGATCTCCTAGCTCGCATCTGGAATCCTTATCAGTTAACCCCCTTCCCTGCCATAAACTCCTGTTGCTTAGAAGTCTAATCTTCATGCAGAAAGGACTTAAAGGTAACATCTTGTATCTTTCTTCAATTATATAATTTCAGAAAAGCCTAAAACCTACCCACTTTCCTTCTTCC